ATACTCGAGAACGTGGATGGTTGCCGGCGCAGAATAAATACGGTGGAGACTTGTGAGTGGAAGGCAGGGCCTGGAATTGATACTGCCTCTGGCCTGGATTTCGTGACGACCAAACTTGGGCTCAAAGTTTTTGCAGATTTTACAGTAGTTAGCGGCAACAACTACCTGTATGTCATGGACTGCGCTCAAAAAAAAAAATTAAAAAATAGATAAGGTTGGAGAATTTTTAAGTCTTCGTTTAGAAGCGGGCCCCCCAGCAGACTATGGTGATACAGCAAGGCAGCGCTAGATTTGCGCTAGGTTGGCGCTATAACGAGATAAGTTTGCAGGAAAAAGAAGAAACAAGCAGAGAGCAGGAAAAAGGAAAAGAAGCAAGACAAGAAAAAGGAAAAACAAACCAGAAGAATAATGCGCAACAAGAGGAAGACAAGCAAGCAGGAAACATATTCTGACAGAATAAAGAAATCAACGGAGATTTTTGCGCTAGGCTGGCGCTAGATCCACGCTAGCACCGCGCTAGACGACGGTCCATTTCTTGACCACCAGCCCATCCAACATCCAAATCTTTGAGTCAGCTCTTACGTACTTCCTATGTCGTTCTGGAGGCTTCTGAGAACAAAAATTGGACAACTGCAGGAGTCCACCAACAGCAGCAGCAGCAACAGCTCCAGCAGCTCAACAGGCCCCTGAAAAGGTCCGCGCTAGACACCTCTCACTGCTTTTTCAGTTGACATGCCTTCTACCTTCATGTTTAACATTCCTGCGGTTTGAGTGTGGTTGGAGTTAAAGAAAGGAGAAACACCATGTTGGGAAAAACATGTTGGAAACCAGCCATGTACTCTACCGTTTTTGAGATACAGTACTGTACAGACTGTAATCTAGACGCTTGACGTACTTCGTCCCATGTTGCGACAATTCTTTGCTGCTTGGGTTGATTCACCAAGAGACTATAGGAACCAGGTAAAGCCTTCTCTGAGAGCGTGAGGCAATTGGCAATCACGGAAGCTGGGACATGGCACACGCTCCTCAGTGGGGGGCACGCTCAGGAAGAATCCGGCAGATTGTGAGGCTCAAAGGAAGCTGCTGGGACCTTTTGCGACATGGCCCTGTCTCAGGTAGGTGATTCCCTGCCCATGGAAGTCGTGGCTGAACGGCAAGCCATGGAAGAATGGGCAAGGAAGGCAGGATACCGAGGATGCCCAAATCCTGCGTTTGGAGATGAGTGGTGTCCACCTTGGACAGTGTCGCAAGCCGTTCTGGCTGACAGGCAGCTCTACGATGGCTACCAAGACTTGTTGGAGCGCTCGGACACGTTCACATTGAGTTGGAATCCGATCAGGGCCATTGACATTGACCCCGAACCCGGACATGATCCACAAGCCAGGGCAGTTGAAGAGGACGACGGTTCCATGTCTGCCACGGCGGGTGATCGGATTTCAAGCGGGAGTGGTCCACAGTCCGATGCGACCACAACTACACCAGCATCAAGCACACGCAAACGAGGCCAGCGTGGAGTTCGCCGGTTCAAAGTTGTCAAGAAAGTCACGATCGTCAAATACATCACCGTTCCAAAGAATGTCAAGGTGATTGTTCGTCCATGCGCGTGCCAAAAGGAAGCATCATGAGTTTTTCGCTGGCGTCACACATGCGATGACTTGAAATCCGTAGAGCGTGGAATTGATGTACAGTACAGTACTTCTACATGATGAGAAAGATATAGCTTCCGGAATTGAACAGAGCCCTTTTAAGACTTGAGTTCGTGGCCTATAATAGGCCTGAGACTGGCAGTGGGAAGCAAAAGGGAAGTACTTCGGAAGGACTGTATGGTTGGAGCAGGAAATGTTTTTGTGAGCTCAGACCCAACCCATTCTCGGGGTGCTGATTTCTTGTGGAAACTGAGGCTCATTTTTCAAGCCAGGCCCAGAGGTGATTGAGTGTCACTTGGGGTCAGGACTGGTATAGTCCCGCCATGCAGTGATAGCGATGGCGATAGCCGATAGCCATGCGGTTTGGCTCAGTGTACAATGATGGGACTTGTGAAAGAATGCATTTGCATTTCAGCAGAAACGATTGCATGACTGTTGCATCCTGTTGCCAAAGCTGATCACATGATTCATTGCTCTGAATGCCCAGGTCATGTGTTTTCTGTTTCACTTTTTTGACTCACGCCACTAGTCCGAACGCACCGCCTGTGAGCTGTAGCCATTCAATGGCACTGCGGGCATTATATGAGAACGCTTCGCCACCAAAGCGGCAAAGAAAGCGAGCCAAGGAACCGGAAGAGGAGATGTGTGGTGTCAATATGATTCCCCTCATCATACATTACAATTGGTTCTAGACAGCTGCAAGCTATTAGGCTCGTTTTGCCCGCGCTGGTCCTGGATCGCGTTTTGTCTGGGCGTACTGACGCTGGCACTGTGCTGGGTGCTGGTGCTGGATCGACGTTTGCTTGGGGCCTGATGGCGTGCGTGCTGCTGCTGGCGTTTCCTGGGCTGGTGCAGGTGGTGCGGGCGCTGGTGCAGATGCAGGCGCTGCTGACGCGGGTCGGTATCGGCGCGGCGTTTTGTGTGGGTGTGCTGGTGCAGATGCTGGCGCTGGCGCCGGTGCTGGAGTGTGGCTTTTCTTTTGGTCCATGTGATGACTTCAGAAGTGAAACGCGAGTGAAAAAGAGCTGCTTGAATACGATGATTCGAATGCTCTGGGGTCTTCTATGCCGGCATAGTTCTGGAGCTGCTAGAGTTTCAGTTTGAAACGCCCATGGGTCCAAGTCGCAATATCAATATCAATATCCAACGCTGCATGCCATTTCAAGGTGTCCATTTAAATGAGGCAAACATCGTGTCATCCAAGAGGGCTACCCTCTTGGGTCGCTTTTTTTCATGTTCAAAAGTTGTGGTGTTGTGGTCCCTGTGCTTTTCTCACTGCATCTTGTACAAGGACAAATTCCATCGGCAGTTGAGCTCGCACCTTCGTTCATCGCAGACAGCAAAGGGCATTGCTGCTGCCCAAGTTTCAGAAGCAGCAAGGATAGTGTCCTTCCAGAATGATCCAGCTCAAGATGTGGCCCGGATTGTGTTCAGCCAGTATGGGCGCGGGCGCAATTCTGCTGCAGTGAATCACGTGTGGCTTGTCAACCGTAGATTACTTGACTTGCGGTTGATCGGTTGATTGGTTGATTGTTTTCTGAGAGAGAAGCGAGCGAGGCATTTCTTGCCTGTTTCCGGTTGAGGCTGAGCTACACGTTTGTTGCCCTCGAGGATGGGAGTATGACAGGTTTTTCAATGACGAGCTCGAAGAGAAACCAGCTTAATCGGTTCCGAGATATCGGTGCCCAATGCCATTTGTCATCCCAAAGAGATGCTTTGATGAATTGGATTGCTGCGCGTCCTGTGGAGCACATTGTATTTGTCAGGATTGCAGACGACACCAATGTATGGCTGTCACCAACTGTGACGAACAAGCGCAAAGCAGGTGAATTGCCAGATTCAAATGACAAGGACCAGGGTTGTGATGATGCTGGTGACCGCACTGACAGCAAGGCAGTTGGGCCAGGTGATCCAGATTCACGAGAATTGGACCAGTCAATGGCATGGAAAAATGTGTTGGGTAAGAAGAGAGAAAAGTGCAGCAGCTCCTGGGAATCATTCAGCGGGTGACACTCCTTCGGGCGGGACAAGAAGACCAATCTCAATCTACAGAGTGCGTGCAGATTCACTGTCCTGGCCAAATCCGACCAAAGGCCGGCGAGTTGATTCAACAGCCTTTGTTCGACCATGCCTAGCCTTCATCAGAATCCAGCTGTCCAACCAAAAGTCCCCCATACAGTACAGGGCAGCCGAAACACAACAGTAAAACTGGACCAGAAGTAGAGATGAGCCAGCAATAGACTATATATATTATATACTGTATACTGTATTCTGTATCTGTATTATATACCGATACAACCACCACCACCACTACCACTACCACTACTACTACTACTACTACTACTACTACTACTACTACTACTACTAC